GACAATGCCCCAACGAGTCGCAAAGAGCTGTCAAATTTTTTTGTCATTCGTAGATAGACTCGAAGCTGCTGCTGCCTAACGAAGTCGCATTATTGTATATTATATAGTTCAGGTCGCGGCATATAGAGAGTGAAAATGTCTAGCAGTAGTGCCAGTCAATATACTCGACTCGTGCGTCCATGCGCATATACGTCGCTACGTATACGATGATATACACACGTGAAATTTATAAATGATAATGTAAAACATTCGCGTCGCGCATTTGCGCCGCTCCGAACGCCAGTTGCAACTATTGAATATGATTTGTAGGTGTTTCAACTCGCTTCAGTTGGCAATATATATACTATAGATTACTACTCCATTGCCGGCGGCAGCGGGGCGTCGGCGCTTTTCGATTTTCTTTGTCATATTCAATTTCTATAGTGTATAATAATGTGCTTGGTGAACGAGTGAGAGAAAAGCGCGCGTGCCGAGCATGAGTTAAAAACTGCAAATAGCCGGCATATGTTGTCTAGATAATGTGTATGTAGAGAAGAGAGTGAGGGAGGGAGGGAGAGAAGGGATTCATATCCGTTCTTTGTTGACACCCTCGCACGCGTTACGATATAGCTATGCTCGTGCTTTCTTTCTCTTTCTCTCCGACGATCGTAAAAACGTGCGAGACGATAAAAAGACTGTTTTTAGCTCTCGAGTGAGAGAGAAACAGACACGCGGGGACAGTTTTTATGCTTAATGTACGTACTTGTGTTTATATGAATATGCATCGATCGACTTGACGTTATAGCCAAAAGTTCGATCATTAATATTTGTCACTCAGCCCGAAGGACGCTCGGAGCCGCGAGCTTTTAGATAAGCTTCGTTGAGAATCTCGAATTTCAGCTCATGGCTCGTGTATATAATAAGCTCGCACCTTCATCTCGTCTCGTTATATGGGTACTCATTTTTATTTGACCGTGCACGGGAGCGTCTCGATTAATTGAAAATCAACGTCGATGCGTGAAGACGTGGTAGGACGTTTCTGCGTGGCCTAACAGCAGCTTCATGTACGCTATATGCGATGTATACGTACAAACACAAACGCGACACAAGATACAAGTGGGTCGCTCGTTCTCAGCGTCGACTCGTAAAACCGCAATTCTCGCGCGTCTATACATACGTAAATGTATAGGCATACATATACAAGAGTCAGCTGCAGCTAGACATTGCGCATTCCAGCAGCAATAGTAGCAGCTTATATAGCTCTATAAGCTAGCGTAGCGCACGAGCGACGAGAGAGAAGCAAATTTGCGGATGCCTGCAATTGGTGTGAATCCACACCTATCCTATCTGTACGGTACTATGCTGCTGCTGTCGCTGCACATCTGACTGCAGCTATAAGCTTTAGCTGCTTTAGCCGCTGCACATGTATAAAAGCTGCATACAGTAGTAAAGCGGACGACGACTGCGACCTTGACTGATGATATGCCGTTGCCTAGGTCAGAGCGTTTATAATTCTCTCTACCCGACGACGACGACGACGAGCCGCCAAGAGGTATATAAGCTTTTTCATTGTTATATCAGCAGTTATATCGTATTATATGCAGGAATCTATATAGATATATAATATAAGGCGCACGTGTGTGTGTGTGTGTGTGTGTGCCTATACCGCAGCCTTTTCAGTTTATAAATAGAGGGAAGCGAGAGCCTCGAGTGTGGGAGTAGTCTCTAGTACTAGTAGCCCGCGGATCGTCTGCTTTCCTCGGTCAGGCAGTAGCAGCCTTTTTCATCTGCCCTTCTGCGGCAAGCAGTAGCAGCACGCGGAGAGATCACTTGAAAATTTTTCAGCCTATATACAAACAGAGAGAGAAAGACACATGGGCGCGCTTGCGGCCACCTAAACATCGTATACTTTGAAAATAAACTTCTTTCTCTCCAGAGCGATACAAAAATGTATTAAAATTTCGAGCTCACCGCGTCGGGGGCTCCGATTCGTAATACTGATTGTGCGAGGCGACGAAGCGGGAAGAGAGAGAAAGAAAGAGAGCTGTTAACGGGTAATTTTTCTCTCGCCCGCGAGCAGACATTTGCATTTTCCCCCCCGTCGCAATGGTCCCGCGACGACACGAGTTTGACCCTTATATCTCTCTTTCTTGTGCGCGACTACGACGATAATAGCGTTAACAAAGACGATATATAATATACCACGAGCGAGAGCTGCAAAAATGATTTATCGCCGGGATGAGCGCTGAATTGCCAATTTTCGAAAATGTTCGCAAATGTTCCTCCTCCTCTCCTGGCTTTTGTCTCCTCGCGCCTAGAAGAGGACTCTTATAAAACTCAGGCAGAGAGAGAGAGTCTTTAACCTCGTTTAACAAATAAATATCCCAGTACTTTATCGATGTAGCTCGCCTGCAAAAGAGAGAGAGACAGAAAGCACGAGTAGAGCTGATAAGTCACACGTAGCCAGTGCGTCTATTATACATATAAAATCATCGCTTGCACACACATACTCTAGGCCAAAATATGGAAACATGTGGCGCGTACTTACTACGATACAGGCATTAAGAGCCACAGACGACGAAGAAGAAGAAGCTCGCGCGCGATTATAAATCGCTTGCGAGAGCACCGCTGCCACCGCCGACTCATTGTGCTTCGATGTGTGTATATGAGCGCGTAATAATACAGAGTTCCAATTGTGGCAAGGTCGAATCTACACTGCTGCTGCTGTTGCTGTAATTCGACGCTTGCAAATCCCTCTACTCAAACATTTATATACGCGCGCGACAAAATCCGTACAACTTTCGCGATGATGCTTTTATCATTTATATTTTTACATATAAATATGAATTATTATTCGCTCCGCAAGACATAATCACGCTTGCGGCACGTGTGCGTGTGGCTGTTGTGGTGAATCGCTGCTATTTTCAAGTATTACTCCTCTGCCGCTTCTGTGCATCGTTATAACGAGCGGGACGAGAGCTTATCAGCTGAATTACCAACTCTTATCGTTTGCCTTTTAATACATGTAGCTAAGAATAAATCCATCGATCGATCGATCGATCGATGCATAATGCAGCATAATGCATCGATCGATCGATCGATCGATGCATAATGCAGCATAATGCATGGATATATACAAGAATTAATTCTCTCGTTTATTTAGGATACGGGGTCGCGCGCTTTTGATGCGTTGAGAAAAATAAAAGCTCGAATTAAAGCTCCCTTGAGGATAATGACTTTGATTATTGTAATGTGGATCTTTTAGAAATCTTTAACTGGAACGTTGACTGGTGTAGTACGAATCTTCGACTTATACAATTATTTTTACTTTGCCGCTTGCAGGTTTACAGATAATGGTACTCGCCACCTAGCGGTGGAGGCTGGCTTTAATTTTTATTGAATTTTCATACATTTTTTCACAAGCTTTGCGGGATCGTGACTGAACGTTGTCGTAAGTTGATCGTGAAGTAAGTGGAAAATTTTAAGATTTATTATTACATACTTAAATTTTTAAACTTAAGAATATACCGAACTCAGGCTAAGATGATCATTTCTGAATACAGTTTTTGCGATTTTCACTGAATATTTTTTTCAACATTTACTAGTTCATATCCTTGTTATGTTAAGGAAAACAACAACAAATATCAAAAAATTTGATTAATAATGAGTTTATGGACAAACATTTATTTTAAATTATATGAATATTTTAAAGATGAGATTTTTCACACTATTACAGATTAGCATAGTAAAAAACTATTGTTTTTTTTATCTTAAATTATAAATGTACTCTGTTTGATTGATGTTTTATTTTGATTCCAAATAAGTATGTAACTACAAAAATTTGTCATTTCGAGAAATCATTCGTCTCTGTGCAAGGAGTGATCGCGCGTCGAAAATCATAAAACCGGGTCATTAGACTGAGTATCGGAAGTAGGTGCTATATTTGAACTTGTACTTTTTTTTCATGGAAAGTTCATTATCGTCTCTTTGGCTTATCATGACGATAAAACGCCTTCATTCTAAGGCGCAACTATTAGATTGATATTAGTCGATCATCCATGCGGGTAAGCTCAGTGGAAAATGACACTTGTATCGTGGGCGCGAGGATAAAGTAGTAGTAGCGTTAGATCGGGAGCCATGGCTGATATGAAATTTTCAGGAAGTCCTTATTGTTTCTTACGAGCTTCGCAAAAGATCGTTCAAATGATCGACAATTTTAATCGACCATAATAATCCGATTTTTTTTGTTCTTTACCTATTTCGATTGTGTGTGCGCGCGTGTGCTTTCAAGAGGTAGTAGTAAGGTACGCGCGCTGATTCGAATATATATATGCGGCGATTAAATTACGAGTATCTGTCAAAAAGGAGCGACTGTCTAGACCGAGAGATTTATAGTTCATTGTGTAATCGTTGGCGAGCAATTGGCGAAATGTGGAAGTCACGTTTGCAGGGGACATTGATTTGAATTTTTATGATTTCCTTTGCTTTTCTGCCGTAGGGTAATTTGATTAAATGCACGCGCTACGAGCTGAATTCCAAATTTTCCCAAGTTTCGAGCAAATTCAATACATAATAGATTTTTTTTCTAAATCTCTCAAAATTCGAATAGTTATGCGCTATTTTTCCACATTCGTCGTTTAAAGCGCATTAGATTAATCGAATTACTCGCGGCAGTAGGTCAAAAGCATAAGCTAATAGCCTGAAAATTTATCTATCTATCGCGTTAAGATTTATTTTTAAAAAAAGAAGTGAATTAAAAATCTCGAAAGTGGGGACTTTTAACACATGGGCGATATATAGCTCAGGCAGGCATGGCACAAGAGAGCCGCAGAAAAAAGAGATAGCCACAACACATACGCACACACACACTGACACATACGCGTGGAGGCAGAAAGATCCCAAAGCAGAACTTATATATATACGACGACGACGACGCGGTCGTAGTGGGGTTATAACGCGCGCGGCGCGCCGTACTCGAACGCGGACATCTGAACAACACTGTGGCAGTCATAAGCCAGGACGGTAAGCGTGTAGATCATCCCGGAAGGCGCTTTTTATGCCTGCCAGTGGTGCGTTGTCTCTCGTCCGACGAAAGCCACGAAAATTACAAACTTGAAATTATTACATATAGATTTTTTTTAAATTTTTTTTTCATTTCTCTCTGGAACAGTGATATCGTATTATTATTATTATTTGTGGGGTGCACGGCTACTACTGCGACAGTGATTATTTTTTTTTTATTTGTGCTACCGAGAGCGGCGAGTGATTATCCATCGACGATTTTTATACAATCGACTCTCCACGACTCGACTTCGTCCACGGGAATCGGGAGGTAAGTGCCGATCGGAAAACAATCCGATAATTTATTTTTATTTTTATTACTATATACCTCGGGCATGTGCTCGGCGGTGGCTGCTGCCCCGGGACGTACGTTAATACATATCGGAGAATCGGTATGGTAAAGTAAAGGCGAAATCAAAGCCGCGCGCACACAACACACGCATTGGAAACTGAGAGTGAAAGGTTGCTGCTCCGCGCGAGTACGTATACCGATATATTTTTTATTACGTGCGCGATGCGCAATCCGCGTTACGCGAGGTTTTAATTTCGATCGATCGGCAATGCCATAAGAGTGAGATGCGGAAATTTCGATTTTTGATCTTGAGATTGAAATTTTTGAAAGTCTCGCGCGCGGGCTCTTCAAGATCAAGGATTAGGAGGACGCGACTGCTGTTTTTTTCTTACTTCTGTTTCGTCTCGGGCGTGTCTGGATTCGCGCACCCGTATCTGGGCTTTATCAAGGCGATTAAAAAAAAAGAGAAAAAAAAGGAAACAAAACATTTCCTCGAATCGATACGCGATGACATTTGAAAAATAATAATTTTTACAAATGACTTTTATGAAGCTCGTCGCTAAATTACGCAACCCGCGTAATGAAGCCGCGAGCACGATTTCGATCGAGAGTGCGCGCCGAGTCTTCTTCTTTTTTTTTCGGTGCGCGAATACGCTAGCTATAGCATCAACATCGAAGCCGGCTAAGAGATAAGTGCATTTTTTCGCTTGTATTTTTCGACAAACAAGAGTCTTCTATAAATAAAATAAAAATAAATGCGCGTAATTTCGAGAAAAAAAAAGAGTATCAGTGCGTTGAATGAATTTATACGCGATACATCTAATATCTTGAGCGAACTCCTACGCTCGGCACAATTGCACATCGAGGCTCGCTCTCGAGATATGCGCCCGCCTATGGCCAATAGTTAAGAGGAGCATGAAAGGTTGATTTGTAGAGCGTGTATCTATGCACTTGCAGCGAGCGCGCGGATAATTTGGCCGTTTGCATGAGCACGGAGTCGTCGTATATACTTATGAAATTTATATCGTGGGTATATATCTAGGCATGTGACTCGTGGACGACGTGTATATCGTCGTCGCATAATTACACTGCGCATCGATGCCACTGCTGAGCTTTGTACAAGTGTGTGTGAGCGTTACACGCGCGACCGGCAGCAGAAGCGCACACATTCGTATACAATATATAGGCTCCAAATCAAGCTATTTATCATATTTTCTTATATTTCTTAAAATTATACTTTGAGCAAATAATATATTATGTGCGTTGCTGCTGCCGTTGTCTCTGCCATACACATGTTATATACATGACTGATATAATTACACAATTTCTATCGTATTTTCTTCGTTGATGTGCACGCGCGTATAATGTAGTTCAATGACGTTTCCAGTATAAAAAGTACACTCGTATACCGCTGTGCGCGATCCCCGCCGTCGTCGTCGTATATTTGAATTTATGCTAATCTCCCCGAAAGGCAGAATCGCGATACATGCATGCTATACGAGTTCGAGTGCTGTTGCTGCCGCTGCTACTGCTTTTTTTGCTGCCACGCTGTTGTGAGAGCAGTGGCGAGTTCGAGTGCGTGCGTGTGTGTATGCGCGTTTTTACGTACACGCGCTCGGGCGCATATATATACACGCGAGCCACCGACGCACTAAGTGCCCTGAAGGGCTTTTGATTTTAGAGAAGTGCATTGTGATGTATAAGATCTCGCCCACCAGTAGTTCGAGTCGCTCGAGTGTTTTGATTAGTCCGAGAGTTTTTTTCTGCTCTTTTTTTCTCTTGTTTTGCGCGCCTGATTGATTTCGGAAAATCATCCGCAGCTTCGATTATCAGCGTGTGTTCGGGAATGTAATTACTCCGCCGAGGCGTATCGACGCTGCACACGCGTTAACCTCGAGACCGACTCGCGCGCAGACATTACATTACACATACGATACCGAAACGTAAATCCCTTCGGCGCGGCGGCTCTCCCGATGACTCCGAATGTTTAAAGAAAATACACGAATACACCGCGCCGCGCATACACAGGCCATAAGCACAGCTGTATGTGCACAGAGTCGCAATCGATCGCATTTCTCGAGGTTTTGCTGGAGCTGGTTGGGTAACGCATCTGCCCAACGCAGTCGAGCCGACGAGCTCGATCACTTTCGAAATTCAAACGATGCCTCCCCCCAACGACGTCTGCGATTTTCAAGGGACTCGATCTGGGCGAATAATAGTAGTAGTAATGTGTATCAGGCGCGAATACATTCAACGAAAAAAGAGGAGAGGCGTTAAAAAAACACTTGCGTATCTTGGTTATCGCGCTAGAGATAAGCCTCCACTTCTTTTTTAGCCAACATACCAGCCAGAAAGCTCGCGAACGAACGTAACGCTTGATTTTTTTATTTCTTCTTTTTTTACTTTACTGTACTTTTTTTCAAGAAGCAAGTACATCGGAGAGTAGCAGCAGCGGCGGCAGATCGCGTAATTGTGAGACACACGTACCGATACATACGTTTACAATACGAATAATTTTTTTTCGGAATCGGTAATTACGATCGGTGTTGAAATTTTGAAGGTTACGCTTCTGTGCACGAGTTGTATATAAGTTACGCTCGAGTGTATGATTTTTTTTTTTTTTCATTAACTCTCGAGTGCCCAATGCGTATGATTAATTTTCACAAATGCAACGCACACAGACATACACAGGCAATCATGTGCCGATACGTTCGGCTGAATTCGCCGGCACGATATCTCTTGTAAGAGAGAGAGAAAAAAATGTGTATTGTTATCTATCGATATATTACTCACGTCGATAAGAAGCTAGGAAATCATTGATTAATCGAAATATTGGGAAAAAAGAATATTATAGTTGGATGGCATATAATAAAGTATAGCGTGGAATAAAAGTCAACTGCGCGCGGTGATTCCGCTCTTCCGGTTGTGCGTTGCGGAAAGGAAACAACTCGATCGCAAATACTTACACACGCAAAAGTCACAACTGTCAAGCTCATCTCCATTCGCGAAATTGAACTTTTCTTATCCGCGCACACCGCAAACAGAGTCAGTTTATCGATTCATCGCCAACGGATAGAGTCGAATGCCACACTTATTTTTTTCGACACAATGTCATTGAACTTGAATAGAATAAAATTACAATATAACGATGGCTGCACGTCCGATAATTATATTCCGAAACCGCGGCGAGCTCTCGTGCGTGTGTCACCGACAATTCACGGGAAAAAAAGCTCGAATCCCGCCTCTTGTCTTGACTCGGCCCAAGACCCAAGACGACGATCCGAAGTGGTTATTATCATCGCGCACGGTAGCAAGGTCGTAGCGCCGATTTCACACGTATACATACACGAGAGCTGCAACTCTTTCACTCGGTGTGCTGCGCGCGAGCCCACCAGCGATACGTACAGCCGAGGGATTACCTACTTTTATCCATTACCGTCGAGTGCGCCGATCGGTTGGGTTGCGCAACTCCGGCAGGTATATAATATTTCCTTCGCGTTCTCGGAATTTACGCGATTGGTACTACAACCAATTTTTTCCTCTCTTTCCTCTTTTTTTCTCTCTTTATCTCCGGTTTATTTATTTTTTTCGCCTTCTTTTCGACACTTTTTTGCCCGATAAGCGCGTTTTTATTACGGGAAGTGAAAATTAGGAGGGTGTCGCGGCACGCGAGATAAATCGTTCACCGAAACCGTGAAAGAGTACATAAAATATTTCGACATGCAGACGTATTATACGATATGCGTGGTCTCTGTCGTTTTTTTGTTCGTCGTACGCGCTTTCTTCGATCTACCTGCAGCAGCAGCATCGGTAGCCGTAAGCTGCAACAAAAAAAGTACTCACAAGGGGACAGAAGAATTCTCTTACCGCATCGATTGGCGCGAATAAATAATGCATCGATTTGCTGCGCAGCGCAACTGGAGCGCGCGAGCTCGTAAAGGGCAACGCTGCATACGCGACGATGATGCACTACAATGAGCCGCGCTTCGCATATGCAGTCCGAAGCATGTTAATTCGTCTAGGCACGAGGCAGAAAGTGTCTAATTATTACACAAGTGAAAATTATAACCTCCTTTATGCGTCGAGATGCCCTTGCAAGTCACTCGCTGCATGTTGCTCGGCTAATACATATATACAGCGAGCCAGGCGTGATACTGTTTTTTTTTCTTCTTTTAAAAAATAGATTCTTTTTTTTCTATAATAAACAATGTACTGCATTTATACATTTATGCATGTGTGTGAGCAACTGGCCTCGTTGATTTTATATTAGGCCATTGTTATAAATGAATTCGAAATATTTTCTCTGTTTAAGCGCAGTAAATAATATATAACGGACACCTTTGGTCGCGCAGTTACTCACATTATGCAGCTCTCAATTTATCCTCATATATAGGCAATCGGGTAAAATTTCAACTTTGGTGGCTTCCAAATGCAGAAATTCGTGCTATGCCTCAATAAAACGGCAACGAAAACTCGTATTCTCTCTCTCTCGAAGTGCTACATAAGCTTTTTTTCCCGAGAATCTATATACGATCGCCTTTAACGTATTTAATACCAAATCAACTCGTTTTCTGCGGTTCCTCTCCATGACGCTCTCATACCTACCTATACTACTGCAGCAGCAGCAGCAGCAGCACAATTTTTTAGCGAAACATGTCACGATCGCGTCGGTTGTGCCTCGCGCGCGTAGTAGTTCTATATAGGTCTTATTCCGCAAAAACCGGTTATATCCTCACGCGCGCTGACGTATAAACACACATGCATACGTACGCGCGAATCGACTGCTTACCCGAGATGCTGGAAAGCAGCAACGCAGAGATTTCGCTCACCCGCGCGGGGGCTCACCCATACACACACTTGCGCGCGCGTAAACCTTTAATATTATACTTTTGGTGCGTATACGCGAGATTAAAGCTTTTCGGGGAATCACAATGCCGAACGATGATTTATATCGATACTTTTTTGACATTTTATTCGCA